GGGAACCTCGTGCGGTTTTACAATAATGATACTAAGGAACCCCCAAAACCCTGTTGAATTATTAAGGCCTCTACACAAGTTCCGACTTTGCATTGCAGGCGCCCTGCCTCGTCCGGGACCTCCGGAAGCAGCTCTCTCAGCTCCTCCCAAGAAAGCAGGCCCGAACCCACGGCCCACAAACATCCAAAATCTCATAACCCCCTAAACCCTAAACCCTAAACCCCTAAACCCCTAAACCCCTAAACCCCTAAACCCCTTCACCCCTAAACTCCTAAACCCCTAAACCCTAAACCCTACCCTGCACATGAAAGTGCCCTCGACGCTAGATGCCAGGCCTGAGACCCTGGCAGTCACAAGAATCCCCATCCTACGAGAGTCTTGCCTGATTGCTAAGTGCTCTGCCACATCCCCGCAGCAGCCTGGCATGGCACTAGGGATCCTTAAGGGGTTCTAGAAGGGATCTATAGTGGGGTTCTATGTAGGGGCCGTAATAATTAGAATAGGGTTTTCGGGCCCATTATGCTATAACTAGAATAAGGAACCCCCGAAAAATAGTAGAGGTAACTATTTGGGCCCCTACATTACCCGGGAGGTTCGTGTGACTGCGGAGTTCATGAAGGTCGCTTCGTAGGATTTTCTTTCGGCTACCAGGCTACCATCAGGAACTGCCTCGGAACTTCCCCTTTCGGCACGATGAGCGGTAAACCTTGGTAGGAGGAAGCTGGCCGAATGCGCGAACATCTTGGTACTGTAGGAACCTGATTAAGAAACCCCGGGTCTTTATCTGGGTGCTTTATATAAATCCTAATATGTTGGTGCTCTTTATATGAATCCTAACATTTTGGGTTTCTTTGCTCGGGCTCTGTATATGAATCCTAAGATTTTGGGGTTACTGGGCCAGGGTTTTTAAATCAGGTTCCTACCTTACACTAAGGTGCGCACCTTTGCGCTTTCGTGCCCGACCGCCCTCAGCCATCAAGCCCATGAACTCAAACCTGAGCGGGGTTTAGAGTTTAGGGTTTAGGGCAAACAGGAAGTTGCTGGCAAGTTCCATTCTGCAATTGGCATGCTTGGCGCCGGACCCTTTGGTAATCTCGGCTCGCTGTTCCTAGTTTTTGGCAACAACAGGTCTCAACGCCTCATTGGTAAGATACCACCTTCGCTCCATCTCCAGTATTCTATGGTAGGGCATTGTATGGTACAAGAGACTAATGTAGGGGCCTCAACAATTTGAATAGGTTTTTGGGCTCCTTTATAGTGCAATTATACTAAGGAACCTAAGGAATATTGTTGGTAAATATTTTGGCTTCTATATTGCAGTTCATCATCATGTCGTATAGCCACGGCAGTTGCTGCAAGCGAGGGATGCGCCTTGGTCAAGCGGCCGTCCGGTTGGATCTGGCAGCGCAGGTTTGCGTTCGGGCTCCGTTCAGGGTTTGGTGAGAGTTTATAGCTTAGGGTTGAAGGTTTAGGGTTTCAGTTAAGGGTTTCGGGTTTAGGTTTAGGGCTTAGGGTTTGGGGTTTAGAGTTTAGGGCGGAGGGTTTAGGTTTGGGATGTAGGAGTTAGGATCTGGGGTTCAAGGATTTGGGTTTCGGGCACATCGCAAAACAGAAACCAGCCTGGATCTCCATGGCGGCTGAGAAGTCTTCTGCGCTACGACTTCTGAGCCTAATATAGCGGTCGCAGTAACTAATACTGATACCCTCCATTTTGGCCTGCATAGTCTCTAGTATGAGTATCGAACAACACACCGCCCCCTCCAAAGAAGGCCCTATTCTAGTTGTCAAGGCCATCATGTTTTCAGAATCCTTTACATTTCTCTGGGAACGACTCAGTCTGAAACAGCATGGAGCAGCTACATCCGACATCCAAGCGTGCCGTCACCCCTTTTTGGCAGCCAGAAGTGCGCGTGGCTGAAAACCACCAGATCTGGCACCGAAAAATTGGCAGCGAGCGCTCCGGTTTCAGAGTGTCTACTCCGTATGTTCGCTTCAGCACGCCAAATGATTCTCCCTAGCAGGTCCTGTTCCGGATATGCTGCTACTTGTGACTTCTTGCGAGGCTCTGGAACTCACGGCACATTATGCCTTTATCAGTTGCAATGTGTCCTCGAGGGTTCTGGGCTCCCTTCCAAGCTGGCACGCCAAGGGGCTGCCGTGCCGGCCATGCGTCCGGCAAGTCTGCACTACGGCCTCATCACTACCTCAGGGTTCAGAGTTTGTTTTCAGGGTTCAGGGTTTAGCGTTTAGGGCTTACGGCTTTTACTCACAAACTTGCTAGGAGACACGGGGAATGGTGCTGGAAGATCTGATGTAGGTGTTGCCTTGCCTACCCGCAGTTCTGTGCCGGCATTCAATCTGAAGCAGCAGCAGCGGCAGCAGCAGCAGCAGCAGTACCAGTGTTGGTAGCAGTAGCAGTAGCAGTAGCAGTAGCAGTAGCAGTAGCAGTAGCAGTAGCAGTAGCAGTAGCAGTAGCAGTAGCAGCAGCAGCAGTAGTCGTCATCGTCGTCGTCGTAGTACTCGTACTAGTACTGGTACTACGTAGTACTAGTACTAGTGCTAGTGCTAGTGCTAGTGCTAGTGCTAGTGCTTGTGCTAGTACTAGAACTAGTACCAGTACTAGTACTAGTCGTCGTCGTAGTAGTAGTAAGTAAAAATAAGTAGAATACACATTAGTAGGCGTGCTACGGGCAGCAACACCAACTCCTAATGGGATGCCAGCACTTTGGTGTTGACTCCGTAAATATTGTAGTTGCTGTACCTTCGCTCGGAGTCGGGCCGATATTTTTCGAGCTCCTTCTCGACACCTGCGGCAAAGTCGTCATCCTTCTTGTCGAGGCCTCTCATGTCCCGGCGAGCTCAGTGTCACGGATTAACGAGTAGTCGGAGTGTCTTTGGGAGTTGGCGAGATCAGGACTTCCAGAGCTCAGACCGGTGAGTTTAACCGGTGCACGACAGTCTGGCAGAACCCCCAAGTGTTGCAAACTCCGCAGAACCACAACACGAACACTTACGCGGAAACTGTACGGATTGCAGCTTCTCTGCAACATGCTTGATACAAGAGCCCAAGCAATAAACATGAAGACAACTCTGATATAGGGGCGTAAATGAGTTCAACAAGGTTTCGGGGTGTATTATAGTACAGCTCTGACAAGAAACCCTGAGGAATAATATGGTAGGTATTCCGATCCCACTGTTAGCCCATGTTCCCTAAACCCTAAACCCTAAACCCATGTTCATGGGGTTAAGTTTAACCCTAAACCCTACCCCTAATCCCTAAACCCTAAACCCTAAACCCTAAACCCTAAACCCTAAACCCGTCCTGAACACGAAACTAGAGAGCCTCCGTTGTTTCATGGATGGCCTGCCGTCAGTCTTGGCCTCCCAGCCTCTGATCCGGAACAGGCATGCCAGCCGATGATGGGCTCTTTCCATGGTTTCGGACTACCTAAACCCGAATTAAACCCTAAAACCTAGTACCCTAAGCTTACATTTGAGCCTTCGGATTCATGCCAACTTTGATCCGTCAGCAAGGAGTAGCTGTATCTGCCACGGGCATGAGAGGGGAAGGCCGTGGATGACGTTGGAGGCAGGACTGCTCCAGTCGCGGGCCTTCCGCTCAAGACTCCCGCCGCATTCTCAGGTTTAGGTTTAGGAAAATTTGGGATTTTAGGAACCCTAAACCCTAAACCCTAAACTCCTAAACTCCTACACCCCTAAACCCCTAAACCCTAAACCCCTAAACCCCTAAACCCTAAACCCTCAACCCTAAACCCCTGAAACCCCTAAACCCTAAACCCAGGGGGGGGCTGAATCCTTACATGGGAGCTTCCGAAATTAGGGGTACCTTATTTTGGGGTCCTTATAATAAGGATCCTATTATTTAGGGTACTATATTAGGGTCCCCTATTTTCGGAAACCCCACATGGGTTGGCGGACACGCTGCCTCAGATCAGCCATCCTTGGCCAGCTCAGCGCGGCTTCGAGCAAGGCAGCTGACGTGGCAAATCATGTAGGGGCCTAAACAACTATCTATACTATTTTGGGTTTAGGGTTTAGGGTTTAGGGTTTAGGGTTTAGGATTTAGGCTCTAGGGTGTAGGATAATATTTTGGGGGCTCCTTATTATCAATATAGTATAAATTGCCCCCAAACACTAGTCTGATGAAGGCCCCTATATTACATGCAGTTCCCGTCTTTGCATGCCTGGGCTGAGGGTTTAGCGCTGAGGGTTTAGGGTTTAGGGAGCATTCCTGAACCCTTGGGAACCTTCACCTAATGGGTCCCCAAAGCGACTACCCTAGAAACACTCTAACTCTGTGTGAGAAAAGACCAAAAGTCCCTGTATGTCTAGGAATCTCGCCACCTGGTCAACGAAGGACCCTAATAATTGGAATAAGGTCTGGCGGGGGTCCTTATTATACCTTATTATAGCATAATATACCCCCAAACCCTATTCTTTATTTATGAATTAAGGCCCTGCATTCTATTATATCATATCCTATCAAGTATTGAAATACTATACTTACTATACTATACGGGTAGTTCTCTAAATTAGGGTCCCTTTTTAGGTCCCCAATACAGTGCGACATTTTTATAAAAGGACCCCAAAAGGGACCCTAATTTAGAGAACTACCCTTATAACCCCCTTAAACCCCCTAATCCTAAGGCTTATAAACCCTATAGAGCCCTTAAGCTTCAAACCCAAACCCCTACTATCAGATGTATGAAGGAGCCTAGCCTTCTCCAAGCTGGAGGCGAGCAAAGCGTCGGATGACGAGATTCTCACCTGGGTCTCAGGTTTAGGGTTTAGGGTTTCGGGATCTGGTTCGGGCTTGGAATATACGCTTCTTGCTTTTAAGGTTTCGGGCTTGGCGTTTTGGTTAATGCGCTTTAGGATTTCAGAAGGTACAGTAGGAGATTTCGGGTCTGGGGCTTTTGGAAGTTCCAATCTTGTTGATTTGACCCGGGTCGCCCATGTCACAGACAAAACTGAAGTCAAGCGCGTCTACCCTGCCATGTCGCGGCCTTCACAGTGCTAAGGCTTGCTACGTCTGGGATACGACGTTCATTCAAGCAAAGTCCCTGTGACGAAGGCCTTATTTTCGAGGCAGGCGCTGTACAAGTGGTTATGTGCTAGACCCGACAAGGACAGAACGTCAAGGAGCACACCCCAACCGGAGTTCAACTCCTTCAATCATGATTCGGGCCCTCACCCAGCTTGGCAATCCGCTCTTTCAGAACCTGAAGGACAAGAATAATGTTGCATTATACTTGCGTCATATCATTTTTGCCATGTAATTGCTATAACAAGTATGATACCACATCCAAAATGTTTTATGTAATGCTATACTATAGTAGAAAAATACGACATTATAGAACAGTATAGTACATATACTTTCTTCCATTACATTATACTATGCTGTATTATGTCATATTATATTGTATTAGATTACAGTATATTATATGGGAGTAGATTATAATACAATAAAATACACTATATTACATAATGTCATAGTATGATATGCTGTACTGCACTATACTAGATTTTATTATGCACAGTATGTTCTGTTGTATTATACTGTACTGTGTTCTGCTATGTTATATCATATTACATTATACTCTAATATATCATCTTATACCATATGCTACTATATCATATTAGCATCGGAACAGCTTGCTCTGTCCGGGTCAGGAAAATCTAGAACCCGTCCGCACCAGGTCCCAGCGCTCCCAGAAGACCACCTGAACCCTCGCATGACACGACGACGACGAGTGTTACAGCTACGTTGATGATTATGACGGTTACGACTATAATGATGATTGTTATTGTTGTTGCTATTACGATTTATTTCATGATTATTACTACGATTACCACTGTTATAATTATTACTACTATTACTACTACTACTACTACTACTACTACTACTACTGCTACCACGCAATCTCCACAAGATATTCAGCATCAGCCCAAAGATTCTGCTTAGTGGCAATTTTCAGAGCGAAGCGGGTGAAAAACTTCCAAATCCTACACTCTAAGCCTAGGGTTTAGGCCTTAGGGTTTAGGGCTTAGGGTTTAGGGCTTAGGGTTTTGGGTTTAGGGTTTAGGGCTTAGGGTTTAGGGTTTCTGGTTTAGGTTTTAGGACCGGCAACCCTATAGGGTTTGGGATGAACTACACCTGGGCTTCTGGGCAACTTTCGGACACCTAAGCTTTATGGGATGTGTTGTTCATCGCAAGTAAGTCTCCCCATAACAATACCCAAAACAAACCTCGACAAGATTGACATAAAAAAGGCGCACTGTATAGACTGACAAAACCCTAGCATATGCCCTGATTCATATCATATTCTGCTTTGCCCTGGTAGATCACAGTGCGATCTTCTCGCGCGCGGGGTAATTGTGCTGACTACACCATACTTGTTGCTCTGGCACAGCATTGGGTATTGTGCGGTATGGCATCATACAGCACGGCAAGGTGTAAACCAAGCTTGTGCATTGCAAAACTACAAAATCCCTTCACTGTATGCCTCATGCGCAACGAGGACGTCACAACTCTATAGCGTAAGGCATGTGCACAACTTGACCACCAACCTTTGCCCGATGCTGTCCAAACCCATCTCAAAGCATTGCAAACTATCACAGGAACTCCCTGGAAGCACGTGTCCAAACCGGTTCGCAGCTGCACATAGAACATGGAAGCTGATGCATGGAAAGTCAGTTTCCGAAGAGGCCTCCTGCACGGTCTTGTCCTCATCCTTGAGCCACTTCTGGCCTTACTTGGGCGATTTTCTGACCCAAGTTCCAATTGCACTCGATCCCGTCGTCCCCTCGGCTGATGCAACAAGCGCCGACAGCAGCGTCAACAAGAACAGCGACGACGATGAAGTTACAAACCTGCTCTGGCTGTCCCGTTTGTAGTTTTCGGACGCCGCTCTCAGTAAAAACGATAACAACTGTAACAATGACTATATGACACTGACAACAGTAAGAACAAGGACATACTACTGATGATAGTAACAGTCATAGCATTAATCACACTATTAATGTGACCGAAGCTTAGGTAGTATTATTAGGGGT